ATGATTCTATTTCATCTTAACAAGTTTGGCCATGAGATTCTTATAAAATCTTTTAATAACCCTTTACGAATTGTTGTTAAATAGCATGTTAGTGCTTTAAGAAAACCATGTGTTATACTGGCCTGAGCATAGAAAGTCAACACCAAGACAAAAGTATGTCAAATTGCAGGGTCTTTATTGCCAGCGGCCATGGAAGACTCGAGTCTCTCCAACCTGTGGCCCTGAAAGGAGGGTGTCAAGACCTTTTATACTTGTAAAACCACTTCAGGAGTAAGGGTGAGGGGCAGGGGTGGGGGTGAGGGGCTTCAGATGTTCTGAGGGCTACTGGATTCTGTAAATCACCACCTGGATAGAGATGCGGCGGAGGGGCTCCAGACATTCCAGTGGATTCTTGGGTGAAGATGAGGGTGAGGGGCTCTGGACACTCCGAGGGCCAGGGTACTTTTGACATTCTGATTGTTACTTAAGTGGTTCACAGAAGTCAAGATTAGCATTTGTTCACACATTGTCTGGGTAGGGTGGAAATTACACCCCTTAATTACTTATTACAAGTTGCAGGGGCCAGGAAGGCATGGTTTTGGAGTACTTGCCTGTCACATTTGGGTTGCAGAGAGCAGTTTCAGTAGAAAGCCAAGGTATGCTTGAGGTATGTTGTTTATGGGGCTTTTACCATGTCACAATGTTTTGCTTTTATTCTAATGTTCAATTTATGGAAAAACCAAATAGTACCCATTTGAATGTAGTCAATATGTTCACATACAGGATTCCTTTTACAAGATTAATTTTTATAAACTTCCATAACTTGTTTGAACCTATAGCTTTATCTTATCTAACTCAAACAATCCTTTAACCCTTTAAACTAGGCAAAAATTTACATTCCCATGCCTTCTTATAATCTTTTACTAAAGACATGTGTTACTTTCATTATACCTTGCATGCAAAGCTGTCTCAGTAGACTCCATTACATGTTATAATGGTAGACAAATATAAAATCTAGACAAAAATGTATGCTGACAATTTTGAAGGAGTTCTTTAATCTATGAGCCCTCTTTTACTCATGTGCTTTTTTCTTTTTTCTTTTTTTTTTGAGACAGAGTTTCAATCTTGTTACCCAGGCTGGAGTGCAATGGCACGATCTTGGCTCACCATAAACTCCACCTCCTGGGTTCAGGCAATTCTCCTGCCTCAGCCTCCTGAGTAGCTGGGATTACAGGCACACGCCACCATGCCCAGCTAATTTTTTATATTTTTAATAGAGACAGGGTTTCACCACGTTGACCAGGATGGTCTCGATCTCTTGACCTCGTGATCCACCCCCCTTGGCCTCCCAAAGTGCTGGGATTATAGGCGTGAGCCACCATGCCTGGCTATTTATGTGCTTATAACAGTGTACTTACAAATAAACACATCTAGACATGTATTCACACACACAAACTAAGATCCAATAACTTGGAACCCTAGGCATGAGATAGCAATACCAGCTCACAAGTTTTACTTTGTTTGCCCCAGTAGATAATCCAATGAAGGCTGTGAACCAAAATTTCAGGTAAAGAAGTTCCCATGGCAATTTGATTTAAAGACCAAACCTCCCCAGACTCCAAAGAACACTGGGGCCAAACAACACCAAAGGAGAACATCACACATTAACCAGGCCCCCTGCTTAGAACAGCAGCAAAAAAGCCTGGATATATTCAATGCCATCCCACTTTCTCACCACATCTGGCTAATTTGTGTATTTTTAGTAGAAATAGGATTTCACCATGTTGGCCAGGCTGGTCTCGAACTCCTGACCTCAGGTGATCTGCCCATCTCGTCCTCCCAAAGTATTGGGATTACAAGCATGAACCACCATACACAGCTGCACTATTTTTCCTTAAGCCAATCAATTTATATAAAAGAGTTAGAGCTCTTTTATATAAACGTCACACATGACACATACATATCTATACAGACAAACAGATGGAGTTCCAGTGGTTGCAAGATTTTTCATGTGCCAATCTCTTAATTGTATTGCTGTCCCTACAGTGGAGCCCTTCAAAAACCAGGGCCAGGAAAACTTGGAGTTTATGTGGCCTAATAAGTAGGCATAGCTGGAAGATAAAAGCAAATTTTGAGAGGATCCATCCACCTCTAACCTCTGGGGCTCCATGAGGAAAATGGAGGTTTTTCCCAAAAACAGGTCAGTGGTGCCTCCTCCGTTTTCCCAAGGACTCCCAGGCCATAAGAGGTTAAGCTGAGGCCCCTCATGTCCACATAAAGAGTGGCAAGACAGGCTGGGCGTGGTGGCTCACGCCTATAATCCCAGCACTTTGGGAGGCCAAGGTGGGTGGATCATGAGGTTAAGAGATCAAGACCATCCTGGTCAACATGGTGAAACCCCATCTCTACTAAAAATACAAAAATTAGCTGGGCATGGTGGCCAGCCTGTAGTCCCAGCTACTCGGGAAGCTGAGGTAGGAGAATTGCTTGAACCCAGGAAGTGGAGGTTGCGGTGAGCCGAGATCACGCCATTGCACTCCAGCCTGGGTAATAAGAGCGAAACTCCGTCTCAGAAAAATAAAAAAAGAGTGGCAAGACAAAATGGAGAATTCAGCTGACTGAGAAGATAAAACCTTTTTTCGAAAACAAGATCCACAAAGAGAAAAGACATAAAGGCCTTTTACATATACCTATAGCTTGGATATCCATGGACATCTACTTTAATTTAATTAATTAATTTATTTATTTATTTGAGACGGAGTTTCACTGTTGTTACCCAGGCTGGAGTGCAATGGCATGATCTCGGCTGACCACAACCTCTGCCTCCTGGGTTCAAGCAATTCTCCTGCCTCAGCCTCCTGAGTAGCTGGGACTACAGGTGCACACCACCATGCTCAGCTAATGTTTGTAGTTTTAGTAGAGATGGGGTTTCACCTTGTTGACCAGGATGGTCTCGATCTCTTGACCTCGTTATCCACCCATCTCGGCCTCCCAAAGTGCTGGGATTATAGGCGTGAGCCAGTGCGCACGGCCTGGACATCTACTTTTAACTGAACTGACTTAACTAACGATCCTCTCTGAAGAAGTTCTAAATCTCTTATTACCCAACTTCAGCCATGCCAAAATGGTCAATACTTCTGGCTTTTGAACTCATGGAGGGGGAGAGAATATAGTGATCTTTATCATTCCTGCAGCCAGTTTGCACACAGAGAAGCCAGAAGTCCAACTGGTAAGAACTTTTACCCTTTTGCCAGTATGTCAGGCATCTGGGTTTTCTTCCCCCAAGCCATGGATCCCTATTGACTCTGGAATTCTGTTCAGTGATTTAGGATCCAGTTGAAGAGTGCAGGCTGAAAATGATTGGTTGGTTACCCATCTGGAAAGAGGGGAAAAAGACTTCCTTTTTTTCCTCGCTGTTCCCAGTGAATACCCAGGGTACATGACACAGAGAAGAAAAGGCATCCCTCTTTCTTTTTCCAATCTTTTTTTTTTTTTTGAGACAGAGTTTCACTGTTGTTACCCAGACTGGAGTGCAATGGCACAATCTCGGCTCACTGCAACCTCCGCCTCCTGGGTTCAAGCAATTCTCCTGCCTCAGCCTCCTGAGTAGCTGGGACTACAGGTGTGCACCATCATGCCCAGCTAATTTTTGTATTTTTCGTAGAGACGGGGTTTCACCTTGTTGACCAGGATGGTCTCGATCTCTTGTCCTCGTGATCCACCCGCCTTGGCCTCCCAAGGTGCCTGGATTTTAGGTGTGAGCCACTGTGCCCAGCCCTCTTTTTCCAATCTTATATCACTGAGTCCTGGCAACGTGTGCAGGTGCCAACCATGGGTGCAAGTGTGACCTTCATCCACAAAGCAGGAGGCATAGCTGACAGGAATATTCATACTCACCTGAGTAGAGCCTAAGCCTTCCACTGTCAGTACCCTTTTAGTTCCCTGGACCTTATCTATGCCATGGATGCAAGCATGACCTCTATCCATAAAGTGGGAGGACCTAATTGGCAGGAATTAGTCATGCTCAGCTGCAACTCCTGCTGTCATCTATTTCAGGTCTCGTGTTCCATTCCATGGTTTCAAACTGAAGCTTGGGACCAAAAGGTGCCTCAGGAGGTGGATGAATCCTTTAAATTAGTCACAGATGGTCCTCACCAAATTTCAGCTAGCAACTGCCAGTGGTTGCTCCTCCACTGCCTCCCTACCACAAGCAGGTGAAGCTGTGGGGCCAGGTCCTCCTCAAACAAAGGAGAAAAAAGAGTCCTAGGAATTGGAGACCTAGCCTAAGAAGTTAATAATTAAGAGGCTGGGCTTTTCCTAAGATACTCCTCACAGTCATCCTAACAGAGGAGGGGGCCTAGATTGGACAAGAGAACTGAAAGGCCTGCTTGAGTCCAGGAGGAAGCCCATCCTCCTTCCCTCGATCCCCAGAATCACCCAAGGCTCCTGGATGGCAATCGCAGTCTGAATCAGCCTGGGTGACAGAGTGAGACCCTGTTTCTTAAAACAAAAACAAAAACAAAACCCAGGCAATATAAAAGGATATGAAAGCATGAATGATAAAACCCTTTGCAAACAATGTGGATGATCCCTGGAACCTCAGGATAGAGGCAGGAGGCAAAGATGACATGTAGACTGGGTGCTGTCAGTTCTCTTCTTATATAGCTGACTTCTTATCTTGGTCTAGCCACACTGACATGATTTATTTTCCTCAAAAGTATAAATCCATTCTTGCTTTTTTTTATTTTTTATTTATTTATTTTTTTGTGGTGGGGAGGAAGGCAGGAAGGAAGGGAATAAGGACGGTAGGGAGGAAGGAAGGGATGAAGGAAGGAAGGAAGGGAGGAAGCGGGGAGGGAGGGAGGGAGGGAGGGGAAGAAAGGAAATCAAGCAATGAAAGAGACATTGCCGACCTGGATCTAGAGGTTTACAAGTTGATTTTTTTTTTTTGAGAGAAGGAAAGAAAAAAAATAAAAAAATAAGTAAAGGAGAGGAAGAAAGAGGAAGAGAAAGAGGGACAGTAAATGGAAATATTGCTTTATTTTGAAAAAAATTGGGTATTAATAATGGCCAATCAATGTTTCATTTAAACTTATGGGTAGCTGTGATGTGGTATTGACAAGAATGTATATTTTGTGTATTTGAAGTGGAGAGCTCTATAAATATTTATTAAGTTTACTTGTTCTGAATCTGAGTTCGAGTCCTTGATATCCTTATTAATTTTCTGTCTCATTGAATCTAAGTCTCCTATCTGGGTGTTCGGATTGTTAGCTCTTGTTGTTGCATTGATCCTTTTACCGCTATATCTTTGTTGCTTTAAAATCTATTTTATCCGATACGAGAATTGCAACTCCTGCTTTTTATTTATTTATTATTTATTTTTGTTCTCCATTTGGTTGGTAAATCTTTCTCCATCCCTTTGTTTTGAGTCTTTGTGTATCCTTGCATGTGAAACAGGTCTGGATGTAACATGCCGTTGGGTTTTGGCTGTGTCTTTTGATTGGGAATTTAGTCAATTTAAATTTAGGGTTACTGCCATTTGATGTTGACTGGCTGTTTTATCCATTTGTTGGTGTAAATTCTTGTTTATGTTGGTGCTCTTTACTTTTTGGTGTATTTTTAGAAAGGCTAATACTGGTTGTTTCTTTCTGTGTGTAATGCTTCTTTCAGAAGCTCTTGTAAAGCAGGCCTGGTGGTAATAAAATCTCTGAGTTCTTGCTTGTTCATAAAAGATTTTATTTTTCCTTCAGTTGTGAAGCTTAGTTTGGCTAGATATGAAATTCTGGGCTGAAGGTTCTGTTCTTTGAGGATGTTGAATATTGGCCCCCACTCTCTTCTGGCCTGTAGAGTTTCTGCCGAGAGATCTGCTGTAAGTCTGATAGGCTTGCCTTTGTGGGTAATCTGACCTTTCTCTCTGGCTGCCCTTAGTATCCTCTCCTTCTTTTCAACCCTGGTGAATCTAACGATTATGTGCCTTGGGGTTGCTCTTCTTGAGGAATATCTTTGTGGTGTTCTCTGTATTACCTGGGGTTGAATGTTGACCTGCTTTGCTAGTTTAGGAAAATTTTCCTGAATAATATCCTGAAGGGTATTTTCCAGCTTGGATTCATTCTCTCCGTCGCATTCAGGTACACCTATCAAACGTAAATTTGGTCTTTTCACATAGTCCCACATTTCTTGGAGACTTTGCTCATTCCTTTTTATCCTTTTTTCTCTAATCTTTTCTTCACATTTTATTTCATTAAGTTGGACTTTGACCTCTGACATCCTTTCTTCTGCTTGAACAATTCGAGTGTTTAAACCTGTGCATACTTCTCGGAGTCCCTGTATTGTATTCTTCAGTTCCATTAATTCACTCATACTCCTCTCTAAGTTGTCTATTCTCAATAGGATTTCATCAAACCTGTTTTCAAAGTTCCTAGTTTCTTTACGTTGGGCTACAACGTTCTTTTAACTCACCGAAGTTTGTTATTATCCATTCCTTGAAGAGTGATTCTGTCATCAGGAGGTGCTCGTTCTCCATCAAGCCTTGTTCCATTGTCGATGTGGAACTGTGATCATCTTTAGAGGGAGAGGCGTTCTGACTTTGAGTATTCTCAGCTTTTTTACACTGGTTTCTTCCCATGATTGTAAATTTATCCTCCTGTCGTCTTTGAAGTTACCAACTTTCAGATTAGGTCTCTTGAGTGTACGTCCAGGTTGTTAGTTCCCAGGGCCAGAGCAGCGGCGTTAAAACTGATGGTGCTCTTCTGCCCAGGATTCTCCTGTCGGGCTTCCTTCTTGTGTCCGTAGTAAGCGACTCTGCCTTCCCGGGGCTCCAAACCTCGGTCAGAAGGGGAATCCGTCCCGTTTACTCTGCGCCGAGGGCTGCCGCGTCGAGGTGCCGGCGGAACCGCTGCGCCGACCACGAGAGTCGCGCTGGCGACTCGTGTGTTTCCTCCACTGGGGCATCTTCTGCTTCGTGAGCGACCAGACTTTGTCTGAAAGTGTGGCGTCCTCTAGTTCTCCGTGCCTTCCCTGAGAGCTGCAATCCTGGGATGTTAGCAATCGGCCATCTTGGATCGTTCCCATTCTTGCTTTTAAGATCTCTGCACTTATTATTCCCAGTGCTGGCACAATTTGCCCCAAGATCCTTGCCCATCTGGCTCCTTATCATTCAGGTTAAACTCACAGATACCTCTTCAGTATGTCTTCCCTGGCCACCCAATCTAATTTGGTCCCCATTACTCTCTATCACATTTTCTTGTTTCCATTAAGCCACTCCCAGTTATCTATTCATTTATCCACTTTTATTTATTGCCTGGCTTCCATATCCAGAACATAATTTTTCTTTGAGAAGGAGTCTCACTCACTCAGTTGCCCAGGCTGGAGTACAGTGGCATGATCTTGGCTCACTGCAAGATCTGCCTCCTGGGTTCAAGTGATTCTCCTGCCTCAGCCTCCCAAGTAGCTGGAACCACAGATGTGCACCACCACAGCCGGCTAATTTTTGTATTTTTAGTAGAGACAGGGTTTCACCATGTTTGCCAGACCAGTCTTGAAGTCCTGGACTCAAGTGATGCACCTGCCTTGGCCTTAGAGGCATGAGCCACCATACCCAGCCCAGAATGTTATCAATTTTTAAATTGTTGAAGTTTGTTTACTCTCTTGTATATAAGTACCTACATAATAATGTGCCCATGACAGAGCCTCAGGAAGTCCTGATGACATGTGCCCAAGGTGGTTGGGGCATAGCTTGGTTTTATATATTTTAGGGAGACATGAGACATCAATCAATTTGTGTAAAAAGTACATTGGTTCTGTCCAGAAAGGCAGGGACAACTTGAAGCAGGGAGGGGGCTTCTGGGTCACAGATAGGTAAGAGAAAAATGTTGTCATTATTTTGAGTTTTTGATCACCTTTCCAAAGGAGGCAATCAAAATATCTATTTCAGTGAGCAGAGGGATGACTTTGAATAAGATGGGAGGCAGATTTGCCCTGAGCAGTTCTCAGCTAGAATTTTTCCTTTAGCTTAGTGACTCTGTGGTTCCAAGATATTTTCCTTTCACCTTTCCCCACTTCTCTTTTAAAAAATCTGTTAGAGAAAGCATTTTCGAAGAAAATGAGTATCTGGTCTTAGGTTTCATCTGATCTCTCATGGTTAGGATAGTTTATTTCTAGAAAGGGAGGTTCCAAAAGTTCATTTTCAGCAGGTTTTGAAGTCTCATGTCCTATAAAGAGAAAATAGAGGGATAAAAGGGAGAAAAAGAGCAACTGTGCAAAATTAATATAGGTCACATTACTCTGAAGTCTATACATCAGTAGGCAGACATGCAAGTGGCTTATGTATGTAAGTAAGTTACTGTTATTTTCTTCTGAAGTTTAAATTGTCTAGTTTCAGTTCACAGGGCTTTAAGAAAGCACAGCTTAGTTTTCAGTGACTCCTAATTAGAAAAAATGAGGAATAAAAGAAGGATAAAAAAAGAAAAATTGAAAACATTGTTTTGAAGACCTACAGCCAAGAAAAAATTAGAATTTAGCCCAAACTGTAGAAAATAATAAAAATTGAAAAACATTAGGCAAAACTAGTCTCTAACAACAGGTGTACTATAGTTTTTGAAACAGAATTTTTTTCTCTCTCCCGTTTTCTATTTTTACTAAGGACAAATTATAATAGGAGTGATTTGCCTTATTACACTTGGCCAGATTATTGGTATAAAGTGCAGCAAGAATAAGTATTTTTCACATAGGCTTGGTTTATTAATTGGCTTTGATGGAACTTTGTTCCATAGAAGGAATCTCAGATAAGTCTTTCTAAAAAGCTGAGCCCAGCTATTGATTTGTGCCATCAAATACCTATGAGTTGGGTGATCCTCTCCTCTTGAGATTCCAAAATAAACTTGGGGCTCCTGGGCCTCTTAGAAAGTGATATTACTTACCACAGGTTAGGAACCCTATACAGGGAAGGTATGAGGCCAGTCTCCCCATGGGGCTTTATTTGCTACATAAGTCAAGGTTTATTATTATTATTATTTTTTTTTTGAGACGGAGTTTCGCTCTTGTTACCCAGACTGCAGTGCAATGGTGCAATCTCGGCTCACCGCAACCTCCGCCTCCTGGGTTCAGGCAATTCTCCTGCCTCAGCCTCCTGAGTAGCTGGGACTACAGGCATGTGCCACCATGCCCAGCTAATTTTTTCCATTGTTAGTAGAGACAGGGTTTCACCATGTTGACCAGGATGGTCTCAATCCCTTGACCTCGTGATCCACCAGCCTTGGCCTCCCAAAGTGCTGGGATTATAGGCGTGAGCCACCATGCCCAGCCCCTGATTTTTTAAAGGAAAGCACACCATTCCAGTCAAAGCCTTGGGAAAATAACCATTTCCTCCAATTGTGTCCTATTACAATTAAAAACAGATTTATTGTCTTTTTCTTTTTGAGACGGAGTTTCACTCTTGTTATCCAGGCTGGAGTGCAATGGTGCGATCTCGGCTCACCACAACCTCCACCTCCTGGGTTCAGGCAATTCTCCTGCCTCAGCCTCCTGAGTAGCTGGGATCACAGGCATGCGCCACCATGCCCAGCTAATTTTTTAGCTGTATTTTTAATAGAGACAGGGTTTTACCATGTTGACCGGATGGTCTCAATCTCTTGACCTCGTGATCCACCCACCTCGGCCTCCCAAAGTGCTGGGATTACAGGCTTGAGCCACCACGCCCGGCCGAAAACAGATTTTTATTGTGCTTATGCAAATTTTTTTTTTGCATATTGCTTAAGAATACTCACAAATAGTTTTCAAATCCTGGAGAAATCAAGTAGAGAGAAATAAATATGCTCCAAATTTTATTCATAGGAGTATACTAAATTGTTAAAAGCTGTTAATAGCTCAAAAGAAAAGTTCCAAGGTTCTGAAAAACAAAACAAAGGATTAGCAACATTTAAAGCAAAATTTAAAAGGATTACCTTAGTCTTTTATCACTTTAGCTTGTACAATTAACCCCTGTTCTGCTCGCTATTCATTAACATTTTAGCTCTTCATCCATGAGAGTCTTAAAAGGTTTTTTCCTCTATTCTACTGTCACAGTCTCCAAAGTTATCAAAACCCTGCATTTAAGAACTCCAGTTAGAGTTCTTTGGCTGATTACAGAACCACCTTCTAAAGAGGACCAAAACAAGACAACAATTGTCCATGAATGACAAAAAGGTTTTGGGCAGTCATAGTTAAGGACAGAATTGACAAGCAAATTTCTTACCTCTGTGGCATACAGTCATTTAACATAATAATTATAATTATTACTGATAATGTACACTAAATTACATCAGAATTATAGGAGTTTCCCACAATTTTGGATTATGTATCAATAACATATTTATACAAATACACCCCAAAGAAAACCAAATACCCTTTCATATTTGACAATGTTTCCTGTATCAGTTTTGTACCAAATAAGCCAAATTATGTCATATTTAGACTTTAGGGAGCCTAATATCTTAAAGGATTAATTAATTAGGAAAACACATAATTTCTAATTTGATTTTGGAAAGTTTTTCAAACATCATAGGTTTTAAACACTTGCTACTACAACATAGGTTGACAAGTCATTGTAAAATAAATCATTTAAACAAAGTGATAAAGACTTTTTTTAAACGTGAAAACCTTCATTTTTTGAGAGAGGAGACAATTTTCTTTTCTTTTCTTTTCTTTCTTTTTTTTTTTTTTTTTTTGAGACGGAGTTTCCTTCTTTTTACCCAGTTGCTGGAGTGCAATGGTATGATCTCGGCTCACCACAACCTCTGTCTCCTGGGTTCAAGCAATTCTCCTGCTTCAGCCTCCCGAGTAGCTGGGACTACAGGCATACCCCACCATGCCCAGCTAATTTTTGTATTTTTAGTAGAGATGGGGTTTCACCATGTTGACCAGGATGGTCTCGATCTCTTGACCTTGTGATCCACCCGTCTCAGCCTCCCAAAGTGCTGGGATTATAGGCGTGAGCCACCATGCCCGGCCCCTCTTTTTTTTAAGATGGGGTTTCACCATGATGTCCAGGCTGGTCTTGAACTCCTGACCTCAGGTAATCCACCCACCTTGACCTCCCAAAGTGCTAGGATTACAGGTGTGAGCCACTGTGCCCGGCCAGAGAGAGAAGACAATTTTCTAAACAATAAGCCCTAATAAAAAATTGAATGAGGGCCAGGCGCGGTGGCTCATGCCTGTAATCCCAGCACTTTGGGAGGCTGAGCTGGGTGGATCATGAGGTCAAGAGATCGACACCATCCTGGTCAACATGGTGAAACTCCATCTCTACTAAAATTACAAAAAATTAGCTGGGCATGGTGGCGCATGCCTGTAATCCCAGCTACTCGGGAGGCTGAGGCAGGAGAATTGCCTGAACCCAGGAGGTGGAGGTGGAGGTGAGCCGAGATCACGCCATTGCACTCCAGCCTGGGTAACAAGAGTGAAACTCCGTCTCAAAAAAAAAAAAAAATTGAATGAAGCCAATTAAATTTGTTTTCCAAATTTTATTAAAAATATGTAACATTTTAACCTTGACCATAAGATATAGCTTCCATAAGCCTTTTACAACCTTTGTAACCTTCGGTAAGGAGTCAGTGAATGGTTTAAGAAAATCTGGTAATCTGACAAAGGGGCCTATACACTAGTCTTGCATCAGAGTGCCTTTGATGTTAATGATTAATTTATAGAGAAACTGAAATTATTTTATCTTTCAAAATGAACCCTTATGTGCCAACCTCTTCCATGATAGTCCTTGGGCCTTGAGGAGTTGAATAGCTTTAATTTCTATCCCTGTGTCTTAGGAATGCAGTTTATTTTTATTGGCATCTTCTACAGGGCATGAAGATGAGGCTTTAATTGCCATCAGTGTTTAAGATTTAGCAGAAGTCCAGGCACAGTGGCTCACGCCTATAATCCCAGCACTTTGTGAGGCCAAGGCGGGTGGATCACGAGGTCAAGAGATCAAGACCATCCTGGTCAACAAGGTGAAACCCCGTCTCTACTAAAAATACAAAAATTAGCTGGGCATGGTGGTGCACGCCTGTAGTCCCAGCTACTCGGGAGGCTGAGGCAGGAGAATTACTTGAACCCAGGAGGCAGAGGTTGTGGTGAGCCAAGATCGTGCCATTGCACATTGCACTGCAGTCTGGGTAACAACAGTGAAACTCCATCTCAAAAAAAAAGAAAAAGATTTAGCAGGACTTGATGTCCTTTTTAGACCCAGTAGTCAAAGCCCTGTAACTTTGACTTTAAATATCACAAGGACTTTAAAAGCATATATAGGAAAATACTTGGATGTAATAACCTTAGTTAAAAAAATTTTTTTCTTAGTTTTTTTTCCTAAGGAAACCAGTACTTAATATGACAACTTTTTTTTTTTTTTTTTAGATGAAGTTTTGCTGTTGTTACCCAGAATGGAGTGCAATGGCAGGATCTTGGCTCACCGCAACACCTCCACCTCCTGGTTCAAGCAATTCTCCTGCCTCAGCCTCCCAAGTTGCTGGGACTATAGGCACGCACCACCATGCCCAGCTAATGTTTGCATATTTAGTAGAGACGGGGTTTCACCTTGTTGACCAGGATGGTCTCGATCTCTTGACCTCGTGATCCACCTGCCTCGGCCTCCCAAAGTGCTGGGATTATAGGCCTGAGCCACTGCGCCCGGCCTGACAACTTGAACATATAAAAGTTTTTTTTTTTAAGACAGTCTTGCTCTGTCACCCAGGTTGAAGTGCAATGGCACACTCTTGGCTCACCGCAACCTCCACCTCCTGGGTTCAAGCAATTCTCATGCCTCACCCTCCCAAGTAGCTGGGATTACAGGTGTGTGCTACCACGCCCAGCTAATTTTTGTATTTTTAAGTAGAGATAGGGTTTCACCATGTTGGTCAGGCTGGTCTCAAACCGCTGACCTTGTGATCCACCTGCCTCAGCCTCCCAAAGTGCTGGGATTACAGGTATGAGCCACTGCACCCAGCTGTTTTTTTTTTTTTTTTAATCCTCTTTTTGTGATTTACGATGACATGACATGCTTGGACTTTTTGGGTTGTCCTGAACATCCCTCCTTAAACAACCGGTCATTTTATTTTAGGACTAAATTTACCATACAAGATTCTTTTTTTTTCTTTTTTTTTTTTTTTTGAGATGGAGTTTCACTCTTGTTACCCAGGCTGGAGTGTGATGGCGTGATCTTGGCTCACTGCAACCTCTGCCTCCTGGGTTCAAGCAATTCTCCTTCCTCAGCCTCCCGAGTAGCTGGGACTACAGGTGCATGTCACCATGCCCAGCTAATTTTTTTTGTATTTTTAGTACAGATGGGGTTTCACCATGTTGACCAGGATGGCCTCAATCTCTTGACCTTGTGATCCACCCACCTCGGCCTCCCAAAGTGCTGGGATTATAGGCGTGAGCCACCACGCCTGGCCAATAATAAAGTTCTTGACAAGAACATAGAAGAATATATTCATTACATAAGGGTAGGCAAAGATATTTTTAACTTGAGCAAAAAGATAAAACGGGCTACCTGAAAGTTAAGAACTTCTGTTTCTTAAAAGATACCATTAAGCGAGTAAAAACTCAGAAACCAGGAGCTGGAGACCAGACAGGGCAACCTACCCCCACCCCCAACATCTCTACAAAAGAAAACAATTACATCTCTACCAAAAAAAGCCAATTTTAAAAAATCTGAGCAAAAAGATAAATGGACTGCATCAACCTGAGCAAAAAGATAAAATAATGGACTAAAGTTATGAACTTTGGTTTATTGAAAGACACCATTAAGAAAGCAAAAACCCTGAGACCAGGAGCTGGAGACCAGCCAGGGCAACCTTCCCCGACCCACACATCTCTATAAAAGAAAACAATTACCCAGGCATGGTGGTGCACATCTATCCTCTTAGCTACTCAGAAGGCTAAGGTGGAAGGATCACTTGACCCTAGAAGTTCAAGGTTACAGTGAGCTATGATCATGCCACTTACTTCACCCTGGTGGCAGAGCAAGACCATGTCTCTAAAGAAGAGAGAGAGAGTAGAAAGGCAAGCCTTTGTACAGAGTACAAAAACATATTTGCAACAAAAGAATCATATCCAGAATATACAAATAACTGCTACAAATTGATAGGAAAAAGACAATCAAATGGAAAAATGGGCCAAGGACCCACTCTTCAGACAAGTCACAGAAGATAAGGGATTAACACTCAAAAAGGTGCTTGACTTCACTAGAAATCAGGGAAATGCAATTAAAGTCTCAATGAGATACCACCTTGCATACACTTAGAATAGCTGAAATTAAAAAGATAGGTATCCATATTTGACAAGGATGTGGAGAAACTAGACCTTTTAAATATTGCTGTAGGAGGCTGAACTGTTACAAGCTCTTTGGAAAACATATCAGCAATATCTACTGGAGCTAAACATACACATGCCTAGTAGCTCAGCAATTCTATTCCTAGGTGTAGCCCAGTAGAAATACATGTACGTCAATCATAGTTGTTTTTTGTTTTTTGTTTTTTTTTTGAGACGGAGTTTCTCTCTTGTTACCCAGGCTGGAGTGCAATGGCGCGATCTCGGCTCACCGCAACCTCTGCCTCCTGGGTTCAGGCAATTCTCCTGCCTCAGCCTCCTGAGTAGCTGGGATTACAGGCACGTGCCACCGTGCCCAGCTAATTTTTTGTATTTTTAGTAGAGACGGGGTTTCACCATGTTGACCAGGGTTGTCTCGATCTCTTGACCTCTTGATCCACCCGCCTCAGGCTCCCAAAGTGCTGGGATTACAGGCTTGAGCCACCGCACCCGGCCTCAATCATAGTTTTTTGTTTGTTTGAGACAGAGTCTTACTCTGTCCCCAGTCTGGAGTGCAGTGGCGAGATCTTGGCTTACTGCAACCTCTACCTCCTTCAAGCTATTCTCCTGCCTCAGCCTCCTGAGTAGCTGGGATTACAGGCTCGTGCCACCATGCCTGGCTAATTTTTTGTATTTTTTAGTACAGACGGGGTTTCACCTAGTTAGCCAGCATGGTCTCAATCTCTTGACCTTGTGATGTACCTGCCTCTGCTTCCCAAAGTGCTGGGATTACAGGCATGAGTCACCACGCCCAGCCAATTATATATATATATATATATATATATATATATATATATATATATATACACACACACACACACATATATATAATTTTTTTTAATGCATAGGAAAAATAAATCCCAATTTAGGATAGTGGTCACCTCTGGAGACAAAAGGTAAAGAGGGAGGAAGAAAAGGATATTAGATTAGGGAGGAGTATATAAGGGCTACAACTTTATTTGACATACTAATTTTTTTAACAGAAAACTTGAAGCAAATGTAAAATATTAAGATTTGATAAAGCTGTGTGATAAGAATATGGTTATTTGGTTTTTTGTTTCTTTTTTTTTTTTTTTTTTTTTTTAAACAGTCTTGCTGTTTCAAAACAGTGTGACCTGTGACAATCCAGGCTGGAGTACAGTAGAGCAACCTTGGCTCACAGCAACTTGTACCTCCCGGGCTCAACCGATTCTTGCACCTCAGCCTCCCAAGTAGCTGGGACTACAGGCATGTGGCACGACACCTGGCTAATTTTAGTATTTTTAGTAGAGATGGGGTTTCACCATGTTGGCCAGGCTGGTCTCAAACTCCTGATCTGAAGTAATCTGCCCTGCTTCAGCCTCCCAAAGTGTTGGGATTACAGGTGTGAGCCACCACACCCAGCCAGAATATGGGTATTTGTTATAATATTCTGTACAGCTTCCTATATATGCCTCCAGTATTTCATAAAGAAGTTCTAAAAATTTTGTAGAAAAATAAAGACTCAGACTGCTTAAGTACCACTGTTTTTTTCTTGTTGTTGTTGTTGTTTTAAAGACTGCAGTATGAGGCCAGGTACCCAGGTTCACACTTGTAATCCCAGCAGTTTAAGAAGCTGAGGCAGGAGGATAACTTGAGGCCAGGAGTTATAGACCAACATGGGCAACATAGCAAGCCCAATCTCCACAATAAAAGATTACAGGCCGGGCACTGGTGGCTCACACTCAGCCTTTAATCTTTTAAATAGTTTAATAGAAACCCTGTCTCTATTAAAAATACAAAAATTATCTGAATGTGGTGGCTCATACCTGTAATCCCACTACTCGGGAAGCTGAGGCAGGAGAATCACTTGAACCTGGAAGGCATTGGTTGCAGTGAGCTGAGATCGCACCACTGTACTCCAGCCTCAGTGACAGAGCAAGACTCTGCCTCAAATAAAATATAATATATGTGGGTAACCCCCCATATAGGCACCGAGGAATGAGAGCTAAGCAGAACCCTCGCACAGTTAGGGCTTGAGGAATATCTCACTTTATAGTGTTACTACTCAGCTATTTCCTTTTATATAATCCTATATTAGTTTATAGAAATAGGGCTTGATGAATCCCTTTATATAATCCTCTCTATATAATCATATAATAATTGATAGTATGAGTGCCTAAAGAATATTTCCCGAGCTGGGCGCAGTGGCTCATGCCTATAATCCCAGCACTTTGGGAGGCTGAGGCAGGTGGATCACGAGGTCAAGAGATCGAGACCATCCTGGTCAACAAGGTGAAACCCCGTCTCTACTAAAAATACAAAAATTAGCTGGGCATGGTGGTGCACGCCTGTAGTCCCAGCTACTCGGGAGGCTGAGGCAGGAGAATTGCTTGAACCCAGGAGGCGGAGGTTGCAGTGAGCCGAGATCGTGCCATTGCACTCCAGTCTGGGTAACAATAGCAAAACTCCGTCTCAAAAAGAAAAAAGAATATTTCCCTACATATATACCCATAATTATATCTTAGTTCATAATCAGAGGAATGCCTAGAGTGGACATAGTACAGAGCACGAATTAAGGAATAAGCAGCTTATAATCAGAGGAATGCCTAAGAGCAGACACAGTGCAGAGCATTATTTAAGGGAAAAACAGTTATACCAGGACAAGAATCCATGGTCAAGGCAGCAGCATTCAGTATCGTAGAGAAACCCGCTGTATGGCAGGCTTGGGCGAGAGCCACACCTCCTGATAAAGGAGTTGCAGGACCTTGCTCCAGTTCTTGTGGAAGGCTGCCCTCAGAACGGCAATCCACCTTGGTGTCTGTGAACTTTACCAGCTCTTGCTACTGTACTGCTTGAAAAGCATCTTCCCATAGAACCCATTGGAAGCTGCCAGAAGGTGGCAGTAACCCTGACAGCTCTGTCACTGCTTTGTGACTTAAAGCATCCTCCTATAAATCTTCTTAGAAGTAGTTTGACCATAGAAGTATTGCACACTGTGCATGGCCCACCTTCAAACCTCGGTGACCTAATGGGGGTGGACCCCTTACTGCGCACGGCCCTTGCGTTCGTGGGAACGGGCCCCTTGCTGTGCACTGTCCACCTCCTGACCTAGGTGACCTAATGGGGGTGGACCCCATGTTTTATTGCTCAAGACCCTATCACTATCCTTAAAGATTATTTCATTCACTGCCCTGCCCCCTAACCTATACACAATAAATAGTCACGCTTCTGGACATTCCGGGCCTCACCTGACTCTGCTTATAGGTGGTGTGGCCCCCGGAGCCCAGCTGCGTTTTTCTTGTACTTCTGTGTCCTGTCTCTTTATTTCTCAGATCCTGTGCCTCAGCACGGCATAAGGCTCACCCCACAACCCTGTGGGGCACTCAGCCCTACAATATAAAAAATAAAAGTTTAGGCTGGGTGCGGTGGCTCAAGCCTGTAAACCCAGCACTTTGGGAGGCCGAGGCGGGTGGATCACGAGGTCAAGAGATCGAGACCATCCTGGTCAACATGGTGAAAACCCCTCTACTAAAAATACAAAAAAATTAGCCTGGCCTGGTGGTGCACGCCTGTAATCCCAGCTACTCAGAAGGCTGAGGTAGGAGAATTGCTTGAACCCAGGAGGCAGAAGTTGCAGTGAGCCGAGATTACGCCACTGCACTGTAGCCTGGGCGAAAGAGCGAGATTCCGTCTCAAAAGAAAGAAAGAAAGAATGTGACTTTTGGAGAACTTGATCAAATCAAGACTCAAGCCGTCCGCTCCTCGGAGAGGCCACAGACTGGCGCTGAGCTGGGTTCTCTCAGTTCTGCAAGTGTCCTGTGCTGCCATCTACCGGTGTCTGGTAAGCGTCGCCCTCCCTTACTGTATCTCCTGAGGAGAGGTTGGGAGAGAGGAGACTCAAGCGCCAATTAAATTGCAGAACATATGTAACTGTCATGCAGTTCATTCGACACCTGTACAAGGCAAAGGCCCCACTTTTCTTCAGCAATTGCAGGCCTTCCTAACTCCATATCAACACTCATCTCGTAAAATTCACAGACCTCTTCGCTGACCTGCCTCAATGGGTAACAGATCTGACTCCCACTGTCCATCCCAGAACCCACACCTGCCTCCACAGCGTAGGCTTCAGAAACTGCTCAACCTCACAAACCTGAACCCCACCGTCCAGATTCCCGGACCCCTGAGATTTCACAGACTCTTGAGATTCCTTGCACTACCTGGCAAACCCTACGGACCTCCCCTATTAGTGCAAATGCACGCGGCAACCCACACGTCCCTACAAAGAGGCTCGAGTTCCACAGGCAGCTCACACCCGCGCGAAAGCTGCGAGAGAGCCCCAACCCGGCTCAGAGCCCTCAGGCCTGTGGCTTTGGCCCGGGCTCCGGCTCCCCAGCCCCGCCTCGATCCTCTCGGCTCAGGCTAGCAGCCTACCGGCCGAGGCCCCACCCCTCTGGACCTGTCATCACAGAAGCCGCACGTGGCCAGGGTGGGACCTCAGGCGACCTGCAGCCATCACTTTGTCTCCTCCGTCATCCATTGGGGCCGCCACCGCCAATCAGAGCCAGCGGATCCGGGTTGGAGCGCCAGCGCCCGGGTGAGGCGAGCGGGAGAACGGGCGGAGGAAGGAGAGACTCTGAGATAGGAGGGGGATCGTGGTGGAAGCGGGTGTGGTGCGACTTCTACCAGGCTGGAATCCGAGGTGGGGCGCCGGTGAAAGGCGGAGAGAACCAGAGGAGGCAGGGATCAGGGGTGGGGCTTAGGAAAAGCGGAGGATCCTGGGGAAATGCAAAGAAAATGAGAAGGGGGCGGGGTCAGAAGGGGCGGGGCTCGGGCTACAGGGGAGGAGCTCGAGAAATTAAACGAGGAAAGGGACGAGGCCGGAGAAGGTGGAAGGTGGGACAAGGGAGAGGGTGGGCCGGGGCGTTGCGGGGGCGGGGCTCGTACCGAAGGGGCGAGGTTTGCAGGCCGAGGCTACAGCTAGGGCTGCTCAGTAACTGCCTCAATCACTACCACCTCCCCAAGTGCAACGGGACCCACGGAACTACAGGTGTGGGGCGGGGTGAGCGAGGAAGAAGGGACACGGATGGGGGTGCGCTTTGCAGACAATCTGGAGACTGCTGTGTGTTGAGGGAAGACACGGAGTCGGGGGAGCAGTTCGGGACTCAATGTGTGGGCAACAAGGTGCATTCTCCAGGGGCCTCTGTGGGGGAAGGGCGGGAGCGCTTTGTGGGGGGGTGCAAGGTACACTGTGAGGGGGCTGGTTCGCTGTCTGATGTGGGGGGGTTGGAGGCGGTACATAAAGGGGAGGGGACTTGGAGGCGCTTTGAAAGAAGGGAGACTGTTTAACGGAGAAGGGTGGTGGGCCAGAGTGTAGGGGTGTCGGAGAGTCTGCGGGCACTATCTGAGGGGAAGGGGTTGCAGGCCCCAGTTGAGACGGGAGAACAGAACCCCCAGTATCCTAGCAGTTTAGGGCATTGTAGTAACTCCAGGAAGACCTTTGTGTTCTGGGTTCTAGGAGCAAGGGTGATGGAATTAGTGAGGTGAGGAGGCCAATCTGTTGCACTCATGTCTTTTAACTCCACCTTCTGGCCTGGGCACTGAGAGGAGCCGGACCCTGCTTGTCACCAGGGCTTGTGTGACTGTCTCCTCAGTCTATTTTGGATCTGTCCAACTAAGACTGGGGTTTCTTCCCCTAGCTGAGGTCCCGTAGGACCCTTCCCCCACTGTGTTCCTGTCAACCCCCCATCCTAGTTCCTGTTCCTCCCAGAGCCGGCCTTGGTCTCTGTCTCCCCCCCTCCCCCGCCCTGCCCTGCCCTTAGGCTCTGGGTGTGCTCATTTCCCACTTCCTTCCTTGCCCCAGGGCCTGGCCTGGCCCTTGCCCATCTAGGAGCTGTGCCCTGCCCAGGACTTTGTACTCAATGACCAGAGACCCTGGTAACCAGCAGGAAGGCTCAGACCCCACCCCCACCACTACCACCCAGGTCTCGCATAGCCCCCCCAAGTAATTGGTAGCCACATTTTACCACTTGCCAACTGGTTCCAACTGGTTTTCCCGACTCTATTTATTTTTTATTTTCCCCACTCTTGTCCTTCCCCTGGATGGGGAACCCTAGGGCTTCTGTGGGAAGGGGGAAGTGGTGAGGAGTACTGAGGGTCTTCGATCTCTTTTGAGAGGCGGGCCACTACTGTAAGCTGAACCCAGAAAGGGGTATGAGGTTCCAGCCTCAGCTTGGGGAGGAAGAGGGAGTGGCTCCCCACACTCCCTGCTTGAAAGCACTATCAGGACCAAGACTAGGACCTAGTACTCCTGAGGGGTCCTCAGCTTCCCTGAGGAGATTTGATGGAGTGCCAGAGTTCTTTTTGCCCCTAGGCTGGCTGGGAGAGTGTGGGAAAGACTTGAGTTCCACACAGTGGCTGAATGAGTGTGACAGTGTTGCTAAAAGGGGCCCCAAGCCAGCCTCCTCACACAACTACCCAGGAGCTGAGAGACTGGCTGGGGAGGGGGGTGTGCTGAGGACAGACAAAGCCCTGGGGTAGGGTGGGGTAAAAAAGGGCAGGCTGAAGCCTTTTGAGGAGGAGCTGATTGCTATGGCAACACTGCTTCCCAGACAGTCTCGCAGAGAGGGCGGGCCTAGGGCAGACTCTCTCCAGCTTCCTCAGGAGTGGGGAGGTTTGTGTGAGTGGGTGGGGCATGAAGAGGCAGGGCATCAGTTTGCTGTGCTGAGACTGGAGGATGTAGCCTTTCTGCTTTGGTACAAGCAGCAGAGCATTCGAATGCCTGGACCTATCCTCTGAAATGGATATGAGTGAAAATTAGTCATTAGAATTATAGCACTAATAGGCCAGAGCTGCAGAGGCCCTCAGCAATCATTGTCTATACAATCCCCTCATTTTACAGGTTTAGAAATTTATAGCTAAAGAGACTGTGATTTCCCAGATATCACAATGAAAGGGCATAAGTTAGGATCCAGCTCTCCTGATTTGCTGTTCACTCAGCCCAGGGCCTGTTGTTTTCTTCAATCAACGTTTATTGAACATGCCAGGGACTAATGTTGACTCTGGGAATATGAGCGTGAACAAAACAAAGTTGCTGCTCTCATAGAGCTTCAATTCTAATAAGGGAGAAAGAAATTGTGGGGAGGGGGGAGGAAGAAGTCAAGTAGTGTTAACTGCTATAGAAAAATAAAGCAGGGTAAATTTAGTGCAGCAAGGTAAGGCCTCTTGGTTGTACCATGCTGCTTTCCCAGGATACGTTGAGGCCTGGAACAGCTCTGATCCTTCACCCTGAACTATTGTCTTCTGACCTTTGTAGGTAACTAGGTCAGAATTATATTCCACCCCATATAAGCCCTGGCCTATAGTAGTGCAGAAAGATAGAAGAAAGAATACGGTGGGGTTGCTAAGGGATTATTTTTTTCCTACAGTGTTCTATGTCTCTACCTGTTTTCCTAGTAAGTTTTTTTTTTTTTTAAAGATGGGTTTTCACCATGTTGGTCAGGCTGGTCTTGAACTCTTGACCTCAGGTGATCTACCCGCCTTGGCCTCCAAAGTGCTTGGATTACAGGCGTGAGCCACCATGCCTGGCGTCCTAGTATGTTTTTAACTAAAGCAACTAGGCTCTTTTTTTTTTAAAGATGGGGTTTCACCCTGATGGCCAGGCTGGTTTTGAACTCCTAACCTCAGGTGATTCACCCACCTCGGCCTCCCAGAGTGCAAGGATTACAGGCGTGAGCCACCACACCTGGCCTCAAGTAGGCTCTTACATCGATAGTCGTAATTTTGATAAGGGCATTGAAAATTTCCTTAATCCTGTTCCTTACACTAGGGAACCAGCAAAGAAGTCAGTCCAAGGGAACTAGGTTTTTTTTTTTGGAGACAGTCTCTTTTTTTTGGAGACAGGCTCACACCTGCAATCCCAGCACTTTGGGAGGCTGAGGCAGGCAGATCACGAGATCAAGAGATCAAAACCATCCTAGCCAACATGGTGAAACCCTATCTCTACTAAAAATACAAAAATTAGTTGTGTGTGGTGGCGCATGCCTGTGTAGTCTCAGCTACTTGGGAGACTGAGGCAGGAGAATCATTTGAATCTGGGAGGTGGAGGTTGCAGTGAGCTGAGATCGCACCACCCCATTCCAGCCTAGCAACAGAGCAAGACTCATCTCAAAAACAAAAAAGAAAAAGGTGGTCTAGGGTGAGATAAGGGGAAGGGAGCTTAGAGGAACTGTTCCTTGCTTGTGTCTCCTAAGTCTAGGAGTGAGGGACTAGGGGGAAGAGGAAGGAGGAGGGGAGAAGCCTCTTTTTACTATCTAGTGATTTAGCCTCAGGGCCCTGGGGAGGTCCACAACACAGGCAAGGCAGAAACAGACCTTGGGCCCTCAGTGGCCTCAGAACTGTAGAAGAGTGGACTTTCCCTCTTTGGCTCTGGTGTTTGCCACCTGCTTCCATGAAGGACTGGGAGAAAAAGCCTCCTAAGTTACAAATTGTCTGACTTGCTGACAAGTGCAGAGGGCAGGGTAGGTAGGACTATCGATTTTCTTAGGTTACCTCTAGAGTACACTCTAGAAAGTGTCTTTGAATGCTCAGTCCTTGCAAAGGTTTTCATTCTGGTCATTTGAAGAATAGGAGGACAAGGCTGGGCGCGGTGGTTCACACCTGTAATTCCAGCACTTTGGAAGGCTGAGGTGAGCAACAAGTTCTGGAGCTCAAGACTAGCCTGAGCAATATGATGAAACCCCATCTCTACTAAAAATACAAAAATTAGCTGGGTGTGGTGGCGGGCACCTGTAGTCCCAGCTACTCGGGAGGCTGAGGCAGGAGAATCACTTGAACCTGGGAAGTGGAGGTTGCAGTGAGCCGAGATCGAGCCACTGCACTCCAGCCTAGGTGACAGAGCGAGACTCTGTATCAAAGAAAAAAAAAAAAAAGAATAAGAGGACAAGGGTTAGGGATGCTGGTTCTGCTGCCATTTGATTTGACTGGGTCTGGGCTGGGCTGGGGCCCCGTGACTCAGGGGGAGGGTGGATAGTTTTGAGGGATCTATGAGTCATGGGTTGGGCTCCATCATAGAGTTGGGCTAATTTTCCCCATTCTGGGCAGAAGACTTCCTATCTTACTTCGCTGTGTGCTCTGTCTCCTTGGACATGGTCCTATGAGTACTGAGTGGTGGGTGGCAAAAGGGATGGGCAGCCTGAGCTCAGAAAAGGAGTTCAGAAACACAAAGAATAATGCTGGTCCCTAAAATTAAAATGTATCCCTATCATAGGAATCCCTGGGCTCCTCTAAAGAAGGCAAAAGAACATCAGTTAAG